CTAAAGAAGCCAGGGTGGCTATCTAAAGAACTTTTAACTGAGTTAAGATTAAAAAGGATGTGTACAAAAATGGAAAAGGGGGAAACCACCAAAGAGGAATTCAAACAAATAGCCAGCACGTGTAGACACAAAGTCAGAAAAGCTAAAGCACAGAATGAACTCAGGCTTGCTAGAGAGGTTAAAAGCAACAAAAAAGGCTTTTATGGGTATGTTCGTAGCAAAAGGAAGAACAAAGAAACAGTGGGGTCACTCAGAGGAGAAGATGGTGAAATGCAAACAGGGGACACAGAAAGGGCTGAACTCCTCAATGCCTTCTTTGCCTCAGTCTTCTCCGATAAAGAAAACAATGCCCGACCGGAAGAATTTGGAGCAAATGATTCAGCAGAGGAAACACAGCCCAGAATAACTAAGGAGATAGTACAAGAATACTTGGCTAGTTTAGATGTATTCAAGTCTCCAGGGCCAGATGAACTGCATCCAAGAGTATTAAAAGAACTGGCAGATGTGATCTCAGAACCACTGGCAGTCATCTTTGAGAATTCCTGGAGAACAGGCGAAGTCCCGGCAGACTGGAGGAGGGCAAATGTTGTCCCTATTTTCAAAAAGGGGAAAAGAGAGGACCCAAATAATTACCGCCCAGTCAGTCTGACATCAATACCAGGGAAGATTCTGGAGCAGATCATTAGCAAACAGTCTGTGAGCACCTAGAAAGGAATGCTGTGATCACAATAGTCAGCATGGATTTCTGAAAAATAAGTCATGTCAGACTAACCTGATCTCGTTTTTTGACAGAATTACAAGCCTGGTAGATGAAGGGAACGCAGTGGATGTAGCCTACCTTGATTTCAGCAAGGCATTTGACAAGGTGCCCTATGATATTCTTGTAAAGAAGCTGGTAAAATGCGGTCTTGACTATGCTACCACTCAGTGGATTTGTAACTGGCTGACTGACCGAACCCAAAGGGTGCTCATCAATGGTTCCTCTTCATCCTGGAGAAGAGTGACTAGTGGGTGCCACAGGGTTCTGTCTTGGGCCCGGTCTTATTCAACATCTTTATCAATGACTTGGATGATGGACTCAAGGGCATCCTGATCAAATTTGCAGATGACACCAAACTGGGAGGGGTGGCTAACACCCCAGAGGACAGGATCACACTTCAAAACGACCTTGACAGATTAGAGAACTGGGCCAAAACAAACAAGATGAATTTTAACAGGGAGAAATGTAAAGTATTGCACTTGGGCAAAAAAAATGAGAGGCACAAATACAAGATGGGTGACACCTGGCTTGAGAGCAGTACATGTGAAAAGGGTCTAGGAGTCTTGGATGACCACAAACTTGACATGAGCCAACAGTGTGATGCGGCAGCTAAAAAAGCCAATGCAATTCTGGGCTGTATCAATAGGAGTATAGCATCTAGATCAAGGGAAGTAATAGTGCCACTGTATTCTGCTCTGGTCAGACTCACCTGGAGTACTGTGTCCAGTTCTGGGCACCACAGTTCAAGAAGGACACTGACAAACTGGAACGTGTCCAGAGGAGGGCAACCAAAATGGTCAAAGGCCTGGAAACGATGCCTTATGAGGAACGGCTAAGGGAGCTGGGCATGTTTAGCCTGGAGAAGAGGAGGTTAAGGGGTGATATGATAGCCATGTTCAAATATATAAAAGGATGTCACATAGAGGAGGGAGAAAGGTTATTTTCTGCTGCTCCAGAGAAGCGGACATGGAGCAATGGATCCAAAGTACAAGAAAGAAGATTCCACCTAAACATTAGGAAGAACTTCCTGACAGTAAGAGCTGTTCGACAGTGGAATTTGCTGCCAAGGAGTGTGGTGGAGTCTCCTTCTTTGGAGGTCTTTAAGCAGAGGCTTGACAACCATATGTCAGGAGTGCTCTGATGGTGTTTCCTGCTTGGCAGGGGTTGACTCGATGGCCCTTGTGGTCTCTTCCAGCTCTATGATTCTAATGATTCTAATGAGTGGAATGTTTCAGACAACCAGAGAGCTCCATAAGCAGGTTAAAAATGTGAGTGAGAGGAGCCAAGAGGAGACCAGCAACTTTCTCTTCTTCTTCCATACAGGTAAAAGGTAAAGGTAAAGGACCCCTAGACAGTTAAGTCCTCAGGCAGGAAAGATTAATCCAGAGGAGAAGACGACTATGCAATTCCTTTAAGCTGTTTAGAAGGGACCACATTCCTTGGGGGATGACCAGTGATCCTCTTGGGCTAAGGATGCTTCTATCAGGGGCTGGAGGGATCCTAGTAGTGGGTGATTTGATCATTAGGATCAAGGAGAGCTGGGTGTGTGATGGGCCGGCAGATTGCAGGGTGATGTTGCTCATCATAAGGGACGTGGGTGGTGCTGTGGTCTAAACAACTGAACCTCCTGGGCATGCTGATGGGAAGATTGGTAGTTCGAATCCGAGTGATGGGGTGAGCTCCCGTTGCTCTGTCCCAGCTCCTGCCAACCTAGCAGTTTAAAAGTGTGCTCTGGCACTTGTTATGGTGTTCTGTGCTCCAGAAGCAGTTTAGTCCTGCTTGCCACATGACCTGGAAAAGCTGTCTGTGGACAAATGCTGGCTCCCTTGGCCTGAAAGTAGAGATGAGTCAAATTTGAGTGGACTTAACCTTCCAGGGGTCCTTTACCTTCACCCTTTACCTTGCTCATCATCTAGATGGGCTGGTAGATAGTGCTGGGGAGGAGTCAGGGGTGATGCTGGCACCAGTGGCTTCAGGAGCTGGGAGTTCCTGGAAGTGAACTCTACCTCCTTGCTTGGTAAGATGCTGACTGGCAGGCCCTACAAAGCAGCTGTTTTCTGAGATTTTCTTTACTGTCTTTATTTCTTCAATTGATATCCCACCTTTTTCTCCAGGGAGCTCAAGGTGGAATGCATGGTGCTCTGCTCTCGTTTTACCCTCACAGCAACCCTGTGAGGTAGGAAAGGCTGCAAGGTAGTGCCTGGCCCAAGATCACCCAGTGAGCTTCATGGCTGAGTGGGGATTTGAACCCTGATCTCCTGGGGCCAGCACACTAACCACTACACCACACTGTCTCTCGCCAGTCCAAATGCCACCTGTTCCACATGTAGGGTCATCTAGACAGGTACAGGTATGTGTCAATGGTGGTGTTGGGAAGAGGGATCTGGATTTGTTAGGTACTGGGGAACATTCTGGGAGAATCCAGGCCTGTTCAAAAGAGAGAGACTCCACTTGAACTGGGATGGAACCAGGCAGTTGGCACTATGGCTTCCAGGAAGGGCGCAGCCCCTGGCACAGCACTTTAAAAAAGGTATCTGGCTTGCTTGTTCTTTCCATAGAGTTCAAAACAAGAGTCTCCAGTTATGGAGTTCTGTCCATAGAGAAGCTAACTTGTTACCAACATTACTATATGTGGGGCACCAGGCATTTTTTTTGGTAACATTTCTCCCAGCCTTCTTAATGTATTATTATTTCAATATGTTGTAATTTATTATATTCCATGTGTATTTTTCTGTTTTGCCATGTTTTTGTAAATTGCCCTGGCAGCACTGCTAAATGGCGGTATATAAACCATGTAAACAGACAAATAAATAACAATTAACAACATTGCACACATCCTAGACAAAACAGCACAAAAGAATTGGTCTTATTTTGGCAACACAAATAGTTATTGCAACTCAATGGAAAACAGCCCAGAATCTTACACTGGATTCTTGGTACAGTATTGCTCACTCTGCAATATCAGTATAATGGAGAAAGTTAAACTTAATTTAAGATTTTGACAAGAAATAGAATCTCCAAAATAGAAAGTTTCTTTTATGACATATGCAGCAGAACCATCATTCCCCAAACTCGGCCCTCCAGATGTTTTTGGCCTACAACTCCCATGATCCCTAGCTAGCAGGACCAGTGGTCAGGGATGATGGGAATTGTAGTCTCAAAACATCTGGAGGGCCGAGTTTGAGGAAGCCTGTTCAAGGCAATGCTCATCGCAAGCCTGGAAAATCTGAAACTATACTTTATAATCTGATAATGTTGATAAACCTTTGCTTGGGCGTTGTTATTTTAACCTATGTGCAACTATAATCATTCCGTGTGCCTATTTTATAGCGTCCCCCACCCATCTTTTCACTTTTGTCTGTTGTTATAATTGGTTCTCTCTGTTTTATATGCATTATAAAATGAAATAATAATAATAATAAACTTTATATAAAAAGAAGTTTTATGGCTGTAGTGTGACACATGTTAATCTGATTATGCTTTACTCCATTTGCTAAAGTTGCAAAATCAAACCCGGATTAGATAAACAAATATAAGCAACACAATTTGTATAGCAGTTACCTGAAATTCTTCATTTGGGATGACTTCCAGCCATTTTTCAGAGATGGGAAGATGAGGGTAAGAATTATAAAGGATTTCAATAATCTCTGGCACAGAAGCACAAGATTTCAGCACCTAGTGGAGGAAAAATCATTGCAGTAAATACAGAGATCGAGAGAGAGGGGGAGAGGGAGGGAGGGAGAGGGAAAGGTATGGGTTAAGCACTGTGACTGCTGCAGGTCAATGGTATTTGTACATTGACTCCCAGTATGTGGCCTGTCCTCCATGTGAAGTAGCTGCTGCCATGGTCAAACTAGATTATTTTGCAAGCCACTAAAAAGCCCAGTTTATATCTTCCTTATTCTCAACCCGAAATTTGAGTTATGGAGAGTTTGGGTGTTTTTTGTATTTTTGTAGAGGGAAATAAGGAAATTGTTAATTTTGCTCAAGATGTGAACTGCACATATTTCAATCAAATAGGGTTGTTTAAACTATTTAAATAGTTCTTACAAAGCAAGGCAAATCTACAGATGCTTCACAGTTCCTACACTACCTGTATAGACTTTAACAAGCTGGGCTGACCTCCTTTGGATCAGAGATTCCCAAATCATTAAAAGAGTTATTATGACAGCCCTTGAAGGGGCTGGAGTCATGGCCTTGAAGAGTTAATTCACTCATTTTTAACTTAGAAACACAGGTTAGGGATTGAGAATGTGAGCATCCAGCGCTGGGCCCATTAGGATTAGAAGAGCAAGATGCAAACTCTCAAGACTGACATGATGCCAGTTAGTGAAAGCTTGGTAGATTAAACCTGCTACTTTCTGGAACCTGTTTGAATTGGTTCAACTTGGTTTCTTTCACCTAGTTTTTATGGTATAAGCAAGTTTCATTTCAAATATATGAAAAACAAGCTAACTCTGATATTCTAACTCAAAATGGTGGAATCTTCCTGTGATAACTTTTGAAACCAGGAAAGCACTTTTGATGCATCAAAAACTTCTCCAATTCCCTTTGAATGACCATGCCTGGCAATTCTTGCAAAGGTGGGTCTGGTTGCATAGGTCTTTCCCTGTCAGCATCCTGCATAGAGGAAAGCTGCCTGTTGGCTGCAAAAGGCTCTGATGGCTCGACTGCAGTTTTTACATTCCCTCCCCGATATTGTGAGAATAACTCCCCAGCTGCTGAGTGTGTGTAAAAGAGCCTGCATCTAGTCAGCAGACCAACGAAGGGTGTAATCCACTGGGTTAACAATCCATCCAATCCTGGAATGGCTGCAGATGGGTCTTCTACAAGCTCTGCTTCCTGAAGGGGAGTTGCAGAATTTCAAAGCTGAAGTAAAGGCACCAATAAACACAAAGACAGTTCCTTACTGTTATGTACTGAGTTGAATAGGATCCAAAATGCAGCAGTCTGATTGGTCCTAGAACAAGAGGATTCAGAATGCAGCAGTCTGATTGGTCCTAGAACAATAGGATCCAGAATGCAAGGGTCTGATTGGTCCACAGAAGCCACCCATTCCAGCTCCAGGTGGAAGGGAATTCGCAACCTGATTGGCCTACAGGAGAATCCGGGAATTAGCCAATCACATAGGGCCCATTGTGTAAATAATGTATATAAAGCAGACATTCTGGGGGAACTTCCATTCCTCCTCACCACTATGAGAGCCAGTGTGGTGTAGTGGCTAAGAGCGGTAGTCTCGTAATCTGGGGAACCGGGTTCGCGCCTCCGCTCCTCCACATGCAGCTGCTGGGTGACCTTGGGCCAGCTCACACTTCTTTGAAGTCTCTCAGCCCCACTCACCTCACAGAGTGTTTGTTGTGGGGAGGAAGGGAAAGGAGATTGTTAGCCACTTTGAGACTCCTGAAGGGGAGTGAAAGGCGGGATATCAAACCAAACTCTTCTTCTTCTTCTTCTATGAGCTGAATAAAGAGCATGACTTCCACTCTCGACTCCGCGGATATTGCCGTTAGCTTGACGAAAGCTGTGGGCCACAGTTTTTGAGAGCCGTGGTTTATCAGGGTCTGTACTGTGAGATGGGGCCTCTGCTCTTGCTTGAAAGCTGCAGTCTGCAGGACACAGGACATTGGATATGCCCCATTGTAATCGATGGCGTTGACATCGGCTTTCCTCTGCAGCAGGAGCTCAACCAAGCTGTGATGAGCATTCCCGCAGGCTTTATGAAGCGGAGTCTTCACTTCTTCATCCACAGTGTTGACTTCTGCTCCATATTCCAGCAGCAGCTGACATACTTGCAAGTAGCTCCTGGCTCTCCCTGTTCTTTGCTTCTCTGCAAGCCACACTGAGTGCTGTCTCCTCCTGGCTGTTCTTCTGGTCCACAAGAGCACCGCACCGCAGGTACAGGAGCGTGTGGTCGGGAAGACCATGCTTAGCTGCTACGTGAAGAGGTGTTTCTTGGGATTCTTCACTTGGCTGGTTTACCAGGGCACCAAAGGTCACCAAAGCTTTAGCACACCTACAAAACAGGAATTTTATTTTTATTTTTTTAAAAAATTATGATCTGCCATTCAAAATTCATTATTTTCCCATGGTGTCTTACAGCATTAAAAACAATTTAAAGCCATATAAAATACAAACAAGCCTATGCAGAATGTTGACATGCATTTGAATCTCCTTTTGCTTACAGTGGATTTTAGTTATCTTTTACCTGCTTTAATGTGAATTTTTAAAGGTTCTTTTTTTGTAAACTGCTTGGAGGTTTTACTACCATCAAGCAGTATATAAATGTTGTGAAATAAATAATATCAGCAGGGCATGCTGTGCCTGAAAATGTCAAAAAACACTTCTGCATATTAAAAGGTAAAGGTAAAGGTACCCCTGCCCGTACGGGCCAGTCGTGTCCGACTCTAGGGCTGTGCGCCCATCTCACTTAAGAGGCTGGGGGCCAGCGCTGTCCAGAGACACTTCCGGGTCACGTGGCCAGCGTGATGAAGCTGCTCTGGTGAGCCAGCACCAGCGCAGCACACGGAAATGCCGTTTACCTTCCCGCTATAAAGCGGTACCTATTTATCTACTTGCACTTAAGGGTGCTTTCGAACTGCTAGGTGGGCAGGAGCTGGGACCGAAAGACGGGAGCTCACCCAGCCGCGGGGATTCGAACCGCCGACCATGCGATCGGCAAGTCCTAGGCACTGTGGTTTTACCCACAGCACCACCCGCGTCCCGGCCTTCTACATATTAAGATGTTGCAAAAACAATATAGAGACACCTCCCCAGTGCTATGTAGACTACTTACATAGCCAATCCAGTTGTTCATCTTTGATTTGGGGGTGGGGGATCTATGTGTTGAGCCTTCTCTTCAAACAAAGGCAACCCTGAAAGGCAAAGCTCTTTACCCATGTGTCAATTTTAGCCCAAACAACTTACGACACCAAGAACACAAAGCCACAAAGCGACTCTGTCCCCTGACCCTCCACGTGTGTGATCAAGGAGTCAGAGCAGCTCTGTACTTTCTCATTGTTACCGGATAAATAAATGTCCTGTAACTGCACAGTACATGACCTGAGCGGCTGTGAAACATGTACAGGCGCGAGGAAGCATTACAAATGAAGCACAAGTTATTTCAACCGAGGGGGAGGGAATCCTCGTAGATTCATAATGGCAGTGAACTGGCAGGCAAAGGCCGGCAGAGTCACACGACCAGCACTGGGACTGACAAGACGCGTTTGCCTCTAGTTTTGAGGAATGTGTTGTTTGAATGGGAAGGGCCCACAGATCAGTGGCAGAGCGCATGCCTTGCACACGGAAGGACCAGGTTCTCCAGTAGGAAAGGCCTCTGTCCAAGGTGGGCCTTTGGCAGTTACATTAGACATGGCTAGGCAAAGTGGACCAACCGTCTGACTTGGGGTGAGGCAGCTTCATGTGTTCAGGGTGAAAGAGGTTCTTGAGCTGAAATCATTTCAGTGATTCATCCCTGCATTGCTCCTCCCACCAACCGGCATCAAGTGTTCTAAAGTTTCTAGAGTTCCAGAATGTCTGCATAGGGCTTTCATCTTCTAGAAATGCAAAT